CAAATTTAGCAGAATTTGGGAATCCTGTTTTCGACAGTCAACAGAATCATCGTGCAGTTCAGGAAACACAGCAAGGAAACAATTGAGCATAATGATATTCTAATATATTTGTATTGAGGTATTGTGAGATGTACTTACACTATATATCAGAACATAGCACAATATTCTCCAGTCTGTATAATAAGTAAAATGTCATGTTCTTTCTTTATCACATTCTTGAGATTCATATGCAACTTTCAGATTTCCTGTATAATATTTAGTAGTAGGGGTTACACAGAGATGATCAGGTTTCCATGACAAATAACATGAGCTAATCATATTATGGTTTGTGCAGATTCTTTTGTCAACCCATATGTGTTTTCCAAACTGTATTTGTAAGCGTTCAATGGTATATTCAACATATATACTTATAGCAAGTGTTGTTGACAACTCATTGAACATACAATTATTCATATTTTAGGTTCCATATTTTCCATAGCATAAATCCAGTTTTTATTTTCTTGTATAGATCTTTATCAATCCTAAAAGTAACATAATTTTCAATATTGTTCCACAAATTCAAGTACTGACTTCAAATTATTTTACTTCTTCCATGTATAACTGTGTACAATAGTCACAGGTAATGTATACAGGCCATTATTTTAGTTCAGGTGAATGTGTAGAATATCTCCTGGTGTGCATGCTCTGAGAGATCAGATGTTTAATTCATTTCCAACTACAAACTAATGGTTTCAAAGTATATATAATATTTATAAGCCCATTTATAATATATGGTAACACTCATTGTGATATCTTGATTTCTCTTTAAGTGTGTTCTGCAGAATAATTTTTGATAAAATGCTAGTCTGTCTAGTCTTAGTCAGTTATTCTGATCAATCTGTGGGGTTGTCATCATCATTCCAGAAGATTTTTGTCCATTGTTGATGAAAACAAAAACATCTTGCTGGCAAACATTTCCCCTCCCAAAATTTGTCTAGAACATTAACACTAAATGCGAGTAATGCCAGGTTGCTTTACTTTGCTGAATAGCAACTTCGTATTACACCACATCATTTTATTCATGTGCTTTAAAACTGAATTTACATTTAGTTAGGTTCTAGTTCACCTGAAGATCATCACTAAGTTACACTGAGCAAAATGTGATGTGGCAAATTAGGAACTAAAATTAATGTAAACTCAATTCTAAAGCCCATGGATAAAATGTTGCAATGTAAGTAACGTCAAGTTGCTTTATTTTTCTGTGTTTATAAAATATCACCTACTGTATGAACTGAAGGAGAATTTTGGTTTTTTTTTAGCTCAAACATTTTTGAACAGATAAACTAATGCATATGGAAGTTTTATGGAACAATGAATTAAACTGCCTTTCATCACCGGTATTTTAATCAATCGTCAACATTTTTTAACATGAAAATACTCCTATAAATAGTAAGTCATGATGATAAAATTACTTTATTTTTATTATTTAATTGATGTCAAGATAGGATACTAAAGGAATTTGCTTATCGTATTTTTCGGAATATAAGACGCACCCTTATTTTGAAGACAAAGTTTTTGGAAAAAAAAAGCTACAGTAGCATTTGAAAGATTTTTATTGAACAAAAATTCAATTTGATACTTTAAAAATTATTATATATTGTTCTAAACACAAAAGAGCTCAAAACATCAAAATAAGAAAATTGTAAATAACAGTAAACCTTTTTTTTTTTTTACGATTTTGGTTCAAAACCTACAAAATCTTCATTGCTTTCACTGTAATTTATTTTTTTATTATGTAGGGAGCATTATGCCCCCCCCCCCCAGTGGCACAGTGGTATGTCTGCGGACTCAGAACGCTAGAATCCGGGTTTCGATACCCGTGGTGGGCAGAGCACAGATAGCCCTTTGTGTAGCTTTGTGCTAAATAACAAACAACAACAATCAAAAAAATCTTACACCCCAGTGGCACAGCGGGTTGTCTGCGGACTTATACCGCTAGAAACCGGGTTTCGATACCCGTGGTGGGCAGAGCACAGATAGCCCTTTGTTTAGCTTTGTGCTTAATAACAAATATCAAAACTTAATAACAAAAGGTCTGACAAATATCAACTCGTTAAGGAAACCTTTAGTTAGTTCATTCTCCAAATATTTACAACGATTTTCCAACCAGGATAGAATGTATATCCATTTTATCGCCGTTGAATAAAATATTTTCAAATTCAATCTTACTAATATTAAATGGGGATTTTATTCACTACTTCATAATAGTCAACTACGTGGAAATGTGGAAATAATTGTGGTTCAACAAATCGTGAAAACATTATTATGTTAAAGATGTAGTGAACCATCTTAAAGATTAGCGCTTGTTAAGAGGGCTTGACCTAATATTCCCGACGTTTGTGTTTGGCGGGAAGAAATCTCGTCTGCCAGCTGTTGTTAGTAGTATTGACCGCTAGGGTTCAGGGTTGTCGACTCGGCATAAATATTGTGAAGAAAACATGTTTTGTTCAGTTAAGAAGCTCGTATATAGGATTTAAGAGTACCATTTAAACGTATTTTTTCAATTGTTATAATGTAATAGGATTATGGATTAGATTGTTGAATTAATGTTCCGTGTCCATTGTTACATATTGAATTTCCGTGGTAGTCGCCAGACTGGTTTATCATTTTCTTGTCGTTTGATATGTTAACATAAAATGTTTTATGAGAGGTACTACAATATGCAAAGTTTACTGGCAGGGATGATAAGTACCTCTTGGCACGAAGTTGGGCTTGTCTTTATAAGAGCAAAATGGTCGTCAGTACTGTGCAACGTTTTTTTGTTTGTTTTTGTAATCACTGTCGCTGTCTTTGTATGTCGAAAAAAGGATTATATTTCGGAGAAAATTTGCAAAACACTAGGCATGTTAGATGGAACGAAGTATTAGTTGTAAACAAGTGGAAGTCAACTTCATAAGAAAAAGCAGTACGCATGCGTGCGTAAAGGAATAAAGGCATGTGCCCAACCTTTAGATCAGATGTTCATAGTGGTTGTGATATTCTAAGTTTAAAACTTGCAAACGAACCAGTTAAATTCTTGTGTTGTGTGCAGAACGACTTGGTACTATAGTCTAACGCTTGAATCTACGTGACCAAAAGCTTTACACCGTTACTCCACCGTATTTGTTTGCAAGATATAAATAAAAATTAAGCTTATATCGCTCTCATGTATATTTTAAACATTTTTTAATTTCATTTTTCAGTTATTCAAGTCAAGAAGTTTGTAAAAATACGGTAAAATTTAAGTTTATATCAGAATAATAATGGCTGGAGACGGCTTGAATGGGTAATGAAGAAAAACTTTAATATAAGTTTAACATAACAGCACATGTACCTGATGATGACAAAACCTTGTCGAAACG